GCGGTTGCCCCCCATGCCCCGTCGAGGTCCCTGGGCCCGGGCCCCTGCCCACGTCCCCCGGGATCTCTCTCTCTCTCTCTCTCTCTCTCTCTCTCTATATATACATACATATATATATACACAAGACTACAGTGGCGCTTCGCGCCATGCACCTTGGTCCTTGAAGTTTGGTGTGCAGGCGGAAATGGCAGGAAGGTCAAGCCGACAATTTAGCGATAACTCCTTGCAGCCTTTTCTGGCATCGCCGTTACGATAATGTTGTTCGTTATTCTTCCTCCATGCTTATTTTTCCACATTCTCGCCATACCCTGGGCATTCTCCCTATCCTCCTCAGCTCTTTTTGCGGAGGCTCCTCCTTGGAGAGCCTCTGGGGGCCTCACAAAAGTTCTCAGGCTTTTTTGAAGCCTTCTGGAGGCCTCCTGGGTGTGTTCTGGGGGCCTCTGGGGCTTCCTAAGGCCAACCTGCCTCTAACCGCGGTCTCCCTGAACGCCCCAGTCACGATTTGGAATGCTTCGGAGGGTGTCTTGGGGCCATCTTGGGCCGCCATGGTGCTCTCTTAGGGCCATTTTGGACTCCTGTTGTGCCGTTTTGGGGCTCCCTTGGACTGCTTGGAAGCCCTTTCGGATGGTTGTGGGGCGATTTGGGAGCCTCCCAGGCGTTTTCGGACGCCTAGGAGACCGCCGTCTTGGAGCGTCGGGAAGCCGAAAAGAGGATAACCCCAAATGCACCAAAAACCTACATAGAATTAATGATTGTTCCTTCTTGGGGCCTTCTTGGGGGTGCTCTTGGAGGCCTCTTGGTACGTGTTGGAGCGATCTTTCGGGGTATGACGGCTTCTTGGAGCGCTCTTGTGCTGTTTTGGGGGTCTCTGGGACGTCTCCGGTGACCCCCCTGATCGCCCTGGGTGTGCTGCGAAGGCTTGGCAAAACGCCCTGCGAGGCCCAGCGGGCCGCTTCGAGGCCCGTCCCGAGGGTCCCAAAGCTCCAAATCCCGGGGGTCCGGTTTTAGGGGGGGGGGGGTGACGGGTTTTCCCCCCGCCCGGGCTTATAAAAATATGGGAAAAGGAATATATACATATACACCAGATTTTAAGGCTCGCTGCTCTTGACCTTCTAACCTTGATCATTCAACCTACGATGTTATGGCCGCTGCGGTAAACATGCTGATGTAGCTGCAATGCTGCTACTGCCCACCCCATAACCTGACGCTGGGGAAGCTAATGTGACGCAACCCCCAATGGTCACGGACCTGGCGCGCGTGGGCCAAATCTGATGCCGGGCACGGCAATCGCCCAGCACGAGCGGGAGGCATTTGCGGTCGTCAATTGTCGCGCTGTCAGGATGTCAGTGTCATGTCTAACTAGCAGATGCAAAGTCAAACATGGCACTGGCATCCTGACAGCAGAGGGGGTCTAACTTGTCGAAGACTTTGCATCTGCAAGTTAGACATGACACTGACATCCTGACAGCAGAGGGGGTGCAAGTGAAACCGTTCGTATCCGCAGTGTATCTAGGTGTATTGGTGTGCGCTGATGGAAGCACTGGCGCAGCCGTTGCAAGACGGATTGCGGAAGAAAGGTCAGCCTTCCAGGAATTAAACCTCGTGTGGCGGCACGCGAACATCTCATGGACACGCAAGAGTACGGCGACGAGCACGCGAACCACAACTAAGCCAATACATGTTGTTCCGGCAGCTTCTTATGTTTGGCAGAATCGCCGCGATGCCAGAGTCGCAAATCCGCCGTGCAGTCTTTATAAGTTGTACAGTCGAGCCAGCCGACTTGCGTGGTCCGTGGGGATGAGGCGGGCCTCGATTGAACTGGGGCTCGGTGGTCAGAGCGCAAGCGCTCTCGGCGATCAGGGGCATCCTCCGTCCTCCTCCCCCTCGTCCCCCGTCGTCCCTTCCCGCCCCTCCCCTCCCTGCCCGTGCCCCAGCCGCGCCAGAGAGCGAGCTAGCGATGCCTCTTTCGCCAGAGAACTTCTAAGCACGCTAGTGGAGGTCCGTGGCCTGGCGCAACGCTATCATATAATGTATCAAGACCAGCGGGCTCTGAGATACCCTGAAGGAAGGGAGTTGGTGCATCCCTTCTTCTCCTTCTCCTCCTTCTCCTCCTTCTCCTCCTTCTTCGCCTCCTCCTCCTCCTCCTCGTCCTCCTCCTCCTCCTCCTCCTCCTCCTCCTCCTCCTCCTCCTCCTCCTCCTCTCCCCCCTCCCAGCATAAACCATGGCAGCCAGTTTCTTCCACCAGCCAAACGCTGGGCCATCAGATTGTGAACCGCGGACCGCGAAAGGGGTCCCCCCCCCCAAAAAAAAACGGGACTCCCGGGATCTGGGGCTTTGGGAATTTTTGGACGGGCCTCGAAGCGGCGGGCCTCGCAGGGCGTTTTGCCAAGCCTTCCCAGCACACCTAGGGCGATCAGGGGGGTCATCGGAGACGCCCCAGCGACCCCCAAGACAGCACAAGAGCGCTCCAAGAGTGACCGGCGTGACCTCCAGATGGCCCAAGAGGCCTCCAGGACGGCCCCAAAGAGGCCTCCAAGAGCCATCCCAAGAAGGCCCCAAGAGGCAAACATCATTGATTTTCTTTTGGTTTTTGGTGAATTTGGGGGTTCTCCTCTTTTCGGCTTCCCGACGCTCCAAGACGGCGGTCTTCTGGGCGTTCGAAGCCGCCTGGGAGGCTCCAAAATCGCCCCACAACCATCCGAAAGGGCTTCTGGGCAGTCCAAGAGAGCCCAAAAACGGCACAACACAGGTCCAAGATGGCCCTCAGAGAGCCCCATGGCGGCCCAAGATGGCCCCAAGACACCCTCCGAAGCATTCCAAATCGTGACCTGGTCGTTCAGGGAGACCGCGGTTGGAGGCAGGGTGGCCCGAGGAAGCCCCCAGAGGCCCCCAGAATACGCCCAGGAGGCCTCCCGAAGGCCTTAAGAAAGCCTGAAACAACTTTTGTGAGGCCCCAGAGGCTCTCCAAGGAGGAGCCTCCGCAAAAAAGAGCTGCGGAGGCTGGGGAGAATGCGCAGGGCATGGCGAAAATGAAGAAAAAGAAGCATGGAGGAAGGAGAACGAAGAACATTATGATAGCGGCGATGCCGGAAAACGCAACAAGGAGTCATCGCTAAATTGTCGGCTTGACTTTCCTGCTACTCCGCCTGCACACCAAATCTCAAGGACCAAGGTTCATGGCGCGAAGCGCCATTGCAGTCTTGTATATATATATATATATGTATATACATATATATGGTCCCCCCCCTTGGGGACCTACCTCACTATCGTCGCATTCCTTCTTTGCTTCTCTTTTGTCGTCCATGCATGCGAAGACGTAGGCACAAAAGGAAGTTGATGAGGAGGAGGCGGAGGAGGAGGAGGAGGAGGAGGATGAGGAGGATGGGGAGAAGAAGCGTGAGAGGACTCGGCTCTCGCCTGAGAGGTCCTAACAAAACGCGAAGAGGAAGAGGCTCCCGCCTGAGAGGTCCCAAAAAACGTGAAGAGGAAGAGGCTACCGCCTGAGAGGTCCCCAAAAAACGCGAAGAGGAAGAGGCTCCCGCCGGAGAGGTCCCAAAAAGACGTGAGGAGGAGGAGGCTCCCGCCTGGGAGGTTCCCCAAAAACGCGAAGAGGAAGAGGCTCCCGCCTGAGAGGTCCCAAAGAAACGTGAGGAGGAAGAGGCTCCCGCCTGAGAGGCCCCCAAAAAACAAGGTCAAATGGAGGCTCCCGCCTGAGAGGTCCCCAAAAAACTCTCTTGGGAGGAGGCTTCCGCCTGAGAGGTCCCAAAAAAAACCAAACAGGAGGAGGCTCCCGCCTGAGAGGTCCCCCAAAAAACCAAAGAAACCCAAACACCATGCCTCTCATCCTTGTAACTGTCCCCAAAAACAAAACAACCAAAGTTCCAGAGGAGAACGGACGTCGCTGCCCCAGATGCATTGACGAGGGCCGCCATCTCCTCTGGAACTTTGGGTTTTTGGGTTTTTTTGGGGCAGTTACAGGGATGAGAGGCATGGTGTTTGGGTTTCTTTGGGTTTTTTGGGGACCTCTCAGGCGGGAACCTCCTCTTGTTTGCTTTTTTTTTGGACCTCTCAGGCGGTAGCCTCCTCCCAAGAGAATTTGTTGGGGACCTCTCAGGCGGGAGCATCTTCCTCTGCGCGATGTTTGGGGACCTCTCAGGCGGTAGCCTCTTCCTCCTCACGTTGTTTTGGGACCTCTCAGGCGGGAGCCTCTTCCTCCTCGCGTTTTTTGGGGACCTCTCAGGCGGGAGCCTCTTCATCCTGACGTTTGTTGGGGACCTCTCAAGCGGGAGCCTCTTCCTCCTCACATGTTCTGGGGACCTCTCATGCAAGACCCTCATGGACATGGCGAAGACGAGGATGACGAACATTATGGTGATGATGACGGAGAAGATGAATATGAAAATGGTACTGCTGATGATACTGATGTTGCTGATGACTATGGTGATGATGATTGTGTTGATGATGATGCTGATGCTGATGTTGGTGATGGTGATGATGACGATGGTGATGATGATAATGATGAAGATTACGAACATGATGATGAATATGCTGATTATGATGATGATGCTGATGATGATGATGTTGACGATGATGATGAGGAGAGTTACGATCATTATGTGAAGGAGGAGGAGCAGCAGCAGGAGGAGGAGGAGGAGGAGGAGGAGAGAGAGAGAGGGAGGAGGAGTCAGGAGTCAGGAGTCCCAGGACGAAGTCCAGTCGAGAGGATGGAGGAGGACAAGGAGGAGCAGTTTGTTATTTGTTGTTGGACCTTTCAGGCGAAGTTGCCCCCTCAGAGACTGTGATTACGTCGGGGGCGTTGGTTAAGGAATGTGCTCAGGAGGCATCAGACCTTGGGGGATTCCTCATCCGATGAGGGCGGTGGCGACATCCACGGCCCATCCACAATTGGAGCTCCGCCGGCTTCCAAACCCTGGATTTCTTATCCAATGATTCCTTATCCAATGCCCTCGCCGTAGTAACCTTTCTGGCGGGAGCCTCCTCATCAGAGAGTTGTTTGGAGAATCTCTCAGGCGGGAGCCTCCTCTTCAGTTATTGTTGGGATCTATCAGGCGGGAGCCTCCTCTTTAGTTATTGTATGGGAGTGACGACCAGGAGGCGGAGGAGGAGGAGAAGGAGGAGGAGGAGCAGGAGGATAAGGAGGAGGGGGAACCCCCCACCCCCGCCCGCCACCGCCCACAGGCAGGCCGCCCGCGCGCGGGCTGATGGAGGAGAGGCTACGACAGGAGGATAACCAGCAGGGCGCACTACTTTGGAGTGTAATACTCAAATAGATCAGAGCGCAATGCTCTTCAAACGGGTGTAACACCTAGGGTGTAGTCAAAGGCGCAATGCCTGTTTAGGATGAGGATGATAGGGGAGGAGCCACAGCAGGGCGTAATGCCCTTGCTCTTAGCAGTAGGGGAGAAGAGCGCAAGGCTCAAAGGGCAAGCTTCGGATGGTGCTCAAGCGCCCGTCTGCTACCAAGACCAAGGACTGGAAGAACGTGCCGTACGCCAGGGGGAAGAACGCGACGCCTGGCAGGGGCTTGCGCCGCGAGCAAGCAAAGTGGAAGCGCACAGTCCCAGAGCTATTGGCGGCGTCTGACGTGGAGATCGTGAACATCCTGCGGGAGGACAAGCTGCTCGTCGATTGGACTGGGGCGACCTGTCCCATCTGCGGGCGCGGCACGCTCGGGGAGTTAGTCGCCCGCCCGCACAAGGGCAACCGCCTCTTGCATCGATGCGATGCGAAGTGCTGCCAGAGGTACGTGTCCCCTGTCTACTTGAACCCCATCTTCAGCGAGCACTCGCGCCCGCCTTACGGATATATAATAAATGCAGACGTGCAGACATTTTAGATGATTTTATTTATTTTTTATCTATGTTTTGTGTTTTTTATGTTTTTTTTCTGATTTGATTTATTATTGTTGTTTATGTTTTTTTTTTTTTTTTTATGTTTTTTAATATTTTTTTAAGTTTTTTTTTTTTATTTTTTATTTTTGTATATTAACATTTAGATTTTAATTGTAATCAGCATAGTTTTAGTTTATATAAAATTTTTTTTTATATTTTTTATTTATTTATTTTTTTTTTAATATATAATTTTATTATTTATTTTATTTTTTATTTATCTATTTAAAATATTATTGATAATTATAATATATTAAATGTTTTAATTATATATTTATAATTATTAGAATTTTAAGTCGAAGCTCGCGGGGACCCCCCACGCTAACGCCCACGTCATGTTCGGCGTCAACCACAAGGCAGTGGAGCGGATCTGGAGTAACGTTGAGCAGGCGCGGAGGATGTACGTGGAGGACGTGGAGCCGACCATTGAATATAGTGGGTCGAAAGTGTGGGCAGACGTGGAGGCTGACGAGGCGACCTTCGACAAGCTGGACATGACCGACGGGCCCGAGCCTCTGGGAGACCCAACTCACCCCGTCATGTGGGAGCAGTGGTTGGGCATTGTGCAGCGCGGCAGGCCGCGCACGCTGACACTTACGAGATTGTGCCCCGAGATGGCGGAGAAGCGGGCGCCTGGCCCTGGGGCCGTGCGCAAGGTAGAGTGGAAACCCCTGGCGGAGCGCTGGCTGGAAGACCGCGACGTCGTCTTTCACACTGACTCGGCGCGTTCCTACAAATTACGCGTGCCAGGTGTCATCCACGACTTCGTTGTCCACCAGAAGAAGTACAAGAAAGTCGGCGGCAAGAGGGTGCTGATTCCTCCCAGGTATGTCGAGCTGCAGACGCACGTACTCCCATCGGGCAAGCACCTCAAAGTCAAGAGCGGCACCCAGATCATTGACCGTGCGTGGCGCTTCATCAAGGACCGCCTGCACAGGAGCGCCACCGCCAAGGCAGGCACCAAGCTGCTCGCCACGAAGATCCGCTCGGCCCAATACGACTACTGGCACAAGGACGACGGCATGTGGGCCGAGACGGGGGAGATGGTGCAGCACATCATGCGCGACGTGCTGGTGGCGTGATCGGCCCTCGGCGGGCGCTCTGGGTTAGACAGGGGCAGTGCGACCCATTACGCGGGGGTTCTATGTTGGCACAATGGCGACGACCATTGAGCCAATTCGGTGCGCATAGTGCAACATATTTAGCGCAATGTACAATATGCATAGTCTGCCGCGGCAGACGTGTGGGGTCGGCTTGGGTTAGTGCGCCTGCACTGTGTGGGGATTATGCCATGGATGCTTTCCGTTGCGTGCTCCTACGGATAACGTTCAAAACGAATACCAATGATGTCTGGAACCCAGACGGGGCGCACTGCTTGCGAACCAATCATGTCACCGCCACCGCGCCATTGCATATTCTGTGCTACATTGTCATGGGCACGACATCACGTCATCGCGGGGTTTCTCATGAAAGTCTCGTTGGGGTGTTCTTCGGGCTCGATAATAACCATTTGGCTCTGACCGATGCTCCGTTCCGATGTGGGTCATAGTGTTATTCCGATCAAGCCTAAAAGGCATATCCAGCTCATCGGACCTGTTTAAATCATATTGGAATATGTTTAGAATCCTGTTCGGCTGCCATCGGGATCTCAGCAGCGGCGGGTTTACGGTGCGACAAACAGAAACAAACAAAAACGGTAGGTCCCTAATGGGGGGACATATATATATATATATATATATATATACTATATATATATAAATATATATACATAGTATAATCACACGCGCGCTATGTCGAGTTGGCCCCCCCCCAATACTAATCCACGACCCCCCCCCCCCCCCCCCCCCCCCCCCCCCAGCCGCGCGCGATGAAACGCGCGATGATGGTGTGTGTGCCCCGCCGCCTCCTGCGCCATGCCTGGTAGCCCTGCCATGCCTGTGTGGCCCCACCCCCCCACCCAGTGAGCGTGGGCCGTTGGCGTGGTGCCCCCCCTGCCACTGGTGCCAGTGCCGGTGGTGCCCCCCGCCCCCCGCCACCCCCCCCTGTGTGTGAAAGTGAGTGGGTGTGTTGGTGTGTTGCGGTTGGATTTGCGGGTGACGCCATGGTCCTCCTCCCCCCCTCCTCCCCCTCTGTGGAGCGTTGTGGTGCGCCGTCGCCGCGGGTGGTGCCCGTCGACGGTCGTCGTCGTTGTCGTCGTCGACGTCATTGTCGTCGGTCGTTGTTTCTGTAGTCGTCGTCGTCGCGTCGTCGTCGTCTCGTCGTCGTCGTCCGTCGCGTCATTGCCGACGTCATCGTCGTCGTCGTTCGTCCTCCTCCTCCTACTCCTCCTCCTCCTCCTCTCCTCCTCCTCCTCCCCCTCCTCCTCCTCCCCCTCTCCTCCTCCTCCTCTCCTCCTCCTCCTCCTCCTCCTCCTCCTCCTCTCCTCCTCCTCCCTCCTCCTCCTGCTCCTCCTCCCCCCCATCCCATCTGGGGGGGGGGGCGCGAGGACCCTGAGACCCATCCCATCTGTGGGTGGGGGGGGCCCGAGGACCCTGAGCCCGCGATCATATATAGGAGTAGGGATCGGGAAGGAAGCGGTCTGAGGCCTCTTGTATCTGTGCTGGGACCTCGTGGTAGGCCTCTCGGGACCCAGGGGCAGTTTAGAAGCCTCTTGAGCCGAGTTTTGGGGCTTCTGGAGGCTTCATTTGGGCCTCTTGGGGGCCTAGTGGGGCTTCTTGGGGGCCTCTTGAAAATATTTTTGGGACTCCTCAGGCCCTCTTGAGGCCTCCTGGGGCAGTCTTGAGCCTGGAGGCGCGAATTTTCGGTTCGTAGTTCCACTCTTGGGGCCCTCTTGGGCCCTCTTGGGACCCTCTTGGGCTGTCTTGGGGCCCTCTTGGAAGCGTCTTGGGCTGTCTGGGGGCGCTCTTGGGGGCCTCTTGAGCCGTCTTGGAGCGTCGGACAGCCGAAACAGTGGGAAGGCCAAAATCATTCCAAAACCTTTGTGAAATTTACGATTTCAGCCTCTTGAGGCGCTCTGGGAGGGTCTCTTGGAAGCGTCGTGGGCCGTCTTTGGGGCGTCTTGGGCAATCTTGGGTCCATCTGGGGCGTCTTTGGGCGATCGGGGGCCTCTTAGGGCGTTCTTGGCCCATATCGGGCCCGTCCGGGGCCGGCTCGGAGCTGTTCCGGAAGCGGTTGCCCCCCATGCCCCGTCGAGGTCCCTGGGCCAGGGGCCCTGCCCTCGTCCCCCGGGATATATATATATATATATATATATACATATATATAGATACACATAGATACATATACCGTATAGACCACCCTTCGGGTGATAAGGAGGCGAGGGGGGGGAACCACCGTCGCACTCGATCGATCTCACTATCGATCTCGCTATCGATCTCATTATCGATCTCATTCGATAAATCTCACAATCGATCTGGCTATCGATCTCACACTCGATCTCACCAACGATCTCACTATCGATATCACAATCGATCTGGCTATCGATCTCACAATCGATCTCACATTCGGTCTCACGATCGATCTCACTACCGATATCACTATCGATCTCATTCGATCGATCTCACATTCGATCTCACGATCGATCTCACATTCGGTCTCACTATCGATCTCACTATCGATATCACAATCGATCTCACAATCGATCTCACAATCGATCTGACTATCGATCTCACTATCGAACTCACTATCAAAGTCATGATCGACCTCTCGTTCGATCTCACAATCGATCTCACTATCGATATCACAATCAATATCACAATCGATCTCACATTCGGTCTCACTATCGATCTCACTATCGAACTCACTATCGATCTCACTATCGATCTCACATTGGGTCTCACTATCGACCTCACTATCGATATCGCAATCGATCTCACAATCGATCTCACATTCGGTCTCACTACCGAACTCACCATCATCACCACCATCATCATCACCATCATCATCATCGTTGTCGACATCATCATCATCATCATCATCATCATCATCATCATCATCATCATCATCATCATCATCATCATCATCATCATTAATCATCATCATCATAATCATCGTCGTCAGCAGCAGCAGCATCATCATCATCATCAACACCGACGGACACCGACGGACACCGGCGACACCGCGGGCCCCGGCCGCCCGAAGGAATCATTTGGTCCGGCCGCCCTCAGCCACAGGGGACACCAGCGGACACCGCGGACAACCGCGGGCCCCCGCCGCCCCGGAAGGAATCATTTCGTTCCCGGCCGCGCCTCAGCCACACGGGACACCAGCGGGACACCGGCGGGACAACGCGGGCCACCGGCCGCCCGGAAGGAAGTCATTTGGTCCGGCCGCGCCTCAGCCACAGGAGACTTTCTCTCGCCCGCCCACGCAGCTTCGCCTCGCCCGCACGGCACGCACGAACACGAAACCGAAATCGATTTCCCGGTAGGGGGGCTCTCCGTTCCACTTCGATCTCACCCCCTCACCTCCGATACATATACACCAGATTTTAAGGCCCGCTGCGCTTGACCTTCTAACCTTGATCATTCAACCTGCGATGTTATGGCCGCTGCGGTAAACATGCTGATGTAGCTGCAATGCTGCTACTGCCCACCCCATAACCTGACGCTGGGGAAGCTAATGTGACGCAGCCCCCAGTGGTCACGGACCTGGCGCGCGTGGGCCAAATCTGATGCCGGGCACGGCAATCGCCCAGCACGAGCGGGAGGAGGACGGGCAGCAAAAGTAGCATGAGTGGCAGCGATGGGACGAGGAGAAAGAAGCGGAGGACGAGGAGCAGGACGAGGAGGAGGAGGAGGAGGAGGATCGGCCCACCGAGGGGGCGCGGTCGTGGCCAAAACATGACGCGGCCCTTGCGACCGAGCCTCTTACATCGGGCGTGCACGCTTGACTTTGCAGGCTTTGAGGGGCTTAATGGGGGGTCCGCTGAGGGCCAAGACTTGGCCGAAACATTCGGGGGCTGACAATTGGCCAACCTGCGCAGGGCCTCCCTACCACTGTCGGTGCCCACACCACCTGGACAAAAAGACGGGGAGTTGGTTGAGTTTGCCGCCTCTCGTGCTTGTGCAACTGCCGAGCCTCGCAAACTTCGTACACCACGATTGACCATTCATGAGCTGCACCGAATGGGTCGGGTGTATCATCTTACCTCCAACTGTAAGAGAGGGGTATGCTGGGGGCGGAATCGGCAAGGACATATTACAGCTCTACCTTTGCATGGGCACTTCTGCATCCAACTTTCTAAGGCATCTCGTGTCGGGCCGACGTTACAGTGGACACAGAACCAGCACTTCTTTTCCTTGGGGTGCTGCATAATGCAGTGGCCCGTGGCACGCTCGAGCTCCTGCCGAATCGCAATTATCTTCGCTGGCCTCTTGCGGATCTTCGAATTCGCAACCGGAGGACGCTGGTGCTTGACCCGAGGCAGCGCGTTAACAGCCGTGGCAACGGCCGCCAAACGCTCGTGGACCCGTTGCAGGAGAGTTTCATAGTCCTTCAAAGAATATAATTGAGGCTGAATTAATCTCAGGGCTTTCGCTCGGCCTCTCTGGGCCAAAGCGTCGGCTCTTGCATTACCGAGGGAAACGTACCAGGGCTGAGAGGCAAACTGGAGGCTCACGGCGTCTAGGTGGGAGTGGCATTTCGTCACTCGAACGTTGGAGATCCTGTCGGGCCTTTGGAGGATTGCATGCTTGATCCGCTGCCACCACTGTTGATGGGGGCCTCGAGGGTACAGCCACATTCTAGAATTCCAACCGCGGTATACCAATGCGTTGTCGGTCCAGATCTCGAGGGGCCCCTGGGTATAGAGGAGACAGTAGTACAAGGCGGCAAGCTCAGCGCAAGGAACCGTTTGCTGACCGTCGATCGATCCGTACAGCCTTGGGAACGAGTTCTCATCTGGAGTCACGTCGAAGTCGAAAGCTACCCCCCATCCACCACGGGCGAAAGGAGCGTCGGCTGAGTTGACCGAACCATCGAGGTAGGCCCTGTGGGCCTGGATCGGACCGCTGATGCTGGAGTAGGTCTCGTACGAGGGGGCGAGGACAAACATGTCGACATCATAAACGATCTGGCATTC